AGCAGTAGAATTGATATTTTCTTGTGTATGCATGTACACACGTATGTACATACGTGCGCACAAAAAAATTTTCTATGTCGTTAGAAAATTTTACTATCATCGCTTAGAACGGGGGCCCGGCGTTACGCGCCGCTCGTGCGTGATCGCCGCCGCTTGTTGTAAACAACTGCCCGCGCGCGGACCGCGGGGCGGTCGTATCTCACGGCGCGCTTGGATTTGGCGATGGGCCGGGCCAATACGGCGATTTTTAATTATTAATAACTCATAAACTATTGAGAAAATTGCAAAATGGTACAAGACTTTTCGACTCAGTTTGGCTCGTTCTATCTAAATACGAGGAAAAAAAATCCAGTATATATATATATATAGGATATATATATATATATATATATATATATATTTTTTTTTTATTTATCGAGAAAAATATGTATTAAATGCCTGTATTTATAAGAATTAAACAAAATTAGACAGATTAAAATTCAAATAAGACACTTTTTTCATTTTTACTTATTGAATATTTACATAGTGTATAGAAAGACTATATGTGTATGTGTGTGTATGAGCAAATTTTATCAAAACATACGAGAAATGGTAACAAAGAAAGCAAAAAAATAAAATAGAGAACAAAAAGCTTAGAGTAAAAATCAGTGACAAAGATAAAAATTAGTATACTATACGTAATACAGTACCGGTTAGAAGTATTGCATCGCTTATGAAAAACAAAGTCGTTACTTTAATGAAGAAAGACATACATTTTATTTTAGTACTGTTATTTTATGTTTTGATAGGAATATTGTGAGAAAAAACTATATAAGATCTTAATAATTTAATTGCGTTATTATTATCATCAAGATAATACAGGCCGACGAATTTCGACTTTTTTTTATCCTCAAATCTCAATAGTCGTTTTCGAAGAATTTTGACGTGCTGAAATCGAATCCGTTGCCCGAATTGCTCTATCACGTCAGGAGATATCTGTACCTAAAAGTGCCTAAAAAGAGTAAAAAGCCATTTTTCGGTTTCTTCAGATTAAAATAACTATAAAACGATACGTGTTAGGCCCATTTTCTCAACGGATTTGAATTCTGCAAAAGAAAAGCTATAGAAGTCATGCGTTTATACCTTGAAAATTGATAAAAAAAAAAAACTATCTACTTCCATGACGCTTCTACCTAGCGGGGTCGCAACTCGTGCACAAGTTAAAGCGTCCTGGAGATAAATATAGTATTTTTTTTATCAATTTTCAAGATATAATGTATGGTTTCTATAGATTTTTTCCTGCAGAATTCGAATTCATCGAGAAAATTGGCCTAACACGTATCATTTTATAGTTATTTCAACCTAAAAACCGAAAATCTTTTTACTTTTAGGTACGGCGGATATCTCTGAAATTTGACGTGATAGCTAGTGCAATTCGGGCAACGGATTCGGTTTTTGGACGCCAAAATCCTTCGGAAACGACTATTGATGAGATCTGAGGATCAAAATTTACTACGTGTAATTATACAACGTCAATTAAATCATTAAGATCTTTGTTCTTTTTCTCAAAATATTTCTTTCAAACTATAAAATAACAGTACTAAAATAAAATTTTATAACATTTATGTACATCTTTCTTCATTAAAGTAACGATTTTCCTTTCCATAAGTGACGCAATACTTCTAATCAGTACTGTACGTAGATTTCCAAATAATTGAACTTCCGGCTTAAAGTAAATTAAAAGAAAAAAGTATCGGATCGGCGGTTGGCAACCGACTGAAACAGAGCGCTATCGATCAGCGCTCGGAGGTCATGGAACAAGTAAAAGGACTGACCGTCGATTACACTGGTGACATCCGGATCGCACCAGTTGAACACTCATTACTCATGCAGGTAAAAGGAACAGCGATCAGCATCTATTATATGAATAGAACGCATTAATCGGAGGCGAGGAGCAATCCGTTTTGAAAACGAGGTAATTATTTACAATATAGGGCTTTTTCTGAATTTTGAAATTTTCTTGCGGCTCTCTTGGTAAAAACCTTTGTTGTGACTCCGACAGTGATAATCAATCGGGGGAGCCCGAAAAATATGTACCCTACCAATTTTTTTACCAATTTTTTTAACCTATTTTTATACCTATTTTTTTCCGACATACTGGAATACACACACGCGGAAAGGTGCAAGGGGAGGCCTTCTGCCTCCCCTCCCGCGGTAGGTAGCGTGGACCTCGCTTTACAACTTAAAGTACATGCTAAGGCTGCGGTCCGATTCACACTCACAGCGTTGAAAGCATCGCTTTTTATACAACGCTGTGAGCGGGAATCGAACCGCAGCCTTTAGCATATATTTTAAGTTTTAAAGCGAGGTCGGTGCCTACCGGAGGCGGGTGCGGGAGGAGGGGCCGAAGGTCCCCCTTGCACCCCCCGCGCGCGCGCGCGTGTGTGTATGTGTGTGCATATATCTCCGAAGCTATTTGAGTCCGACCTTTATATATATATATATGAAATGATTCGAAAAGACTCCCCCAACAACATATTTAAAAATAAACCAAATCGGAGAGGAGGCCCCTTTTAGGCATAAATACCAAAGAAAATTAAACGTTTGCGTGGAAAATTGAACAATACTTAAAAAAAATAGATTATTAAAAAATAGGTATGGTGTACATATTTTTCGGGCTCCCCCTATTGATTATAACTGATGTCAGACTCAAAAGTTTTTACCAAGAGAGCCGCAAGAAAATATCAAAATTCGGAAAAGGCCCTATATTGTAAATAATTATCGAAAACGACGACAAACTGTTTCGTCCTACTCTCAGGCTTTCTTTGTTTTACCATTTCCCGTACAAATCAGTAAAAATTTTTCTCTGAAGTAGAATCAAATTTTGAGACTGAATTTTTGAATCCGATATATAGAATGCTCCTATGATTCATGAGGTACAGATATAGCTTCATTTTAAGACGGAGTTAAACACTAGGATAAGATTTTCGCTGTGAAAGTGAATAAAAACTAGATATATTTAAATAAAAATATTGCAATTTAAAAAAAGCAAAAGTATACACACAAACTAATTACGATCCGGCAAGCGCTTATATTTCTGTGATGATGATGCGATATCAATAACATTATAAATATAATAGAGTGTTACAGTCTTTACAATCGGATTCTCTTTAATCAGAATACAGCTATTGTTAACTGGGCACAAATGCGATCTCAAAGTTAATAAAGGTATAACATTAACTGATATTTTCATTGTCGCGAATATTTTTGTTTGCTGGCTCGCATTAATTCATTTATTCATGTTAAACTTTTTTTAAAGCTAATCCATTTTCATAGTACTAATGTGCATTAATATTATACAGCATGATTCAGGATCTCTGCGACAAAACTCTGAGGAACGATAAATCTCGCAAAGAGGACCATTTTCTGTGAAGCAACTTGTGTTGTCTGACACGTCGTTTAGGAGCTACATGACCGCGTAGACAGGTCTCAGGTGACATTTATCACAATTATGAGATAAATTATTCATTTATTGTTGCAAATACACTTGCAGACAGTTTAGAAGGCGTTCAAAGTGTACCTTGAGCCTGATTGCATTCATAACACCATCGTAACATTGTCGGACTCTTTCGACATTTGAGGTCATGTTGAGGCTAATTGTAGCGCAGAATGCAATCAGGTTTAAGGTAGACACTTTGAACGCCTTCTGTAAACTGTCTGCAAATGTACTTGAAACAATAAGTAAATAATAAATTTATCTCATAATTGTAATAAATATCACCTAAGACCTGTCTGCCCAGTCGCATAGTTCCTAAACGACGCGTCAGAGAACATAGGTTGCTTTATAGAAAAAAGTCCTCTCTGCGAGATCTATTGTTCCTCAGAGTTTGTCGCAGAGGTCTTGAATCACCCTGTATATTAATATTGCATATATTATAATATTAAAATATTACAGTTGCCGGTTGGATATTATTCACTTTTGGTGCACTTCAAATTCCATTCTGGATGATCTACACGTGATATTATCAAAAAGAAATTTGGGACCATCCGAGGTAATCGTGTTCGCTAAATATTAGGTGTATAATTAATTTGGCATCTTTTTTTACAAAATTTGAAAGTTATTCACAAGAAATCAATTACAAGTATAATGTTTAAAATAGTCTCCATTATTTTTTTCTCAAAAGACTTTTTCCCATTTATCGGGCAGTTAAATACTCTCGTGGAATTAGCTTACAATTAGCGATTTTGAATCGATAAAGTCTTCAAGACTTTTTCCGACTTCTTCCACTGTCTTGAAAAATATGTATTAGGTAATGCTGGAGCGACCGAAACAAATGGTAATCTGATAGGGCTAAGTGTAATGAATAATTCGGAGCATATAAGGGAGAATTTTCCAGTCTAAAATCTAGATGTGTGTGACATCCTTTGTCGTCTTTGTAGTACGGCCGAACATATATATTGTCGTACTGTAAAATGACCTAGTTCCGAAAACTCTGATACCATTTTTTGCACATATAGATTGCATTACCCATATTACCTTCACCCAGAGCAGAACAAATTATTTCTGCGGCTTCAGCAGTATTCTTTTTTAATTGAAATGTGAAAAAATATGCAGTGCCACAAATGCTGCTTTTCGCACGTTATCATGTTCATTACTGTTTTATGAAGTTTTATTGTCTGTTTTGTCACGGCGTATGATATTTTGCAAATGTAAGAAATCCACATTTGCAAACAGTTACAAAGGGGCGAGAAAGTACATAATCATAAAATGGAGTTATAATAAGGCACCGAATTAATTTACACACCTAATATATCTGTACTGAATATTATCTATTAACGATTGACTATATATTGTAATTTAAGTTTTTCCTCTCAGTAAATAAAAGATAAAATGAAAACAAAAGAAGGATACTGAGGATTTTGAATTATGGAGGAGGGAAAGAGGATGAGGGTCTATCTTCTGAATTCAATTTCTGTTTAAATATTCGAATGTTTTTGTGCAATATATTTTCTTTTTGCAGATGTTTAAGGCAGCCTTTATCCCTTCGTTAGAATGGGGCCCGAAAAGTCCAACGCATATGGCGTGCTGGCGTGAATTTAAAGAGACAATGAGGAAGAAACACGAAAAACGCAACTGCTCACGAGTGAAGCAATTTGTTTATGTAATTTTCTGCTTGGAACACAAACTTGTCTGACGTCGTTTTAAGTAAGTTTAGGACGTCTTAAGTTTAGCCTGAAATCTTATGTCTAATTGTTGCACAAAATCATAACGCGTAAATACGCTGGTTCACAATCAGTGTACATACAGGGTGCATTAATGCACAGTGCATTTGTACTCACTGTCACAATTAGAGTGCACCGAGCATTCCTACCTATAGGCTTCGCTACATCCACTACTCCATTTCCGATCAGCTAAGACATTCGATAAAACCATCAGATATTAGAGATATAGCAAAGCATACGGAGAAGAACGCTCGATGTTTTTGTCCAGTCTATTTGTATCTATTTCTTTTAACCCTCTTGAGGCACAATCTGTAATTAAAGAAATAGATCCTTTAGAATAAAGTTTATTCAACGTCCAGTTGAAAAACCAAACACAATCATTACACTAAGAATTAATTGAAAGTGACGGAATAATAAAATAATTCTAAAGAAAAAAAAAGAAAAGGGGATATAATTTGAAACACCTTTTAGTTTCGTAGAATCGACATTTAATTTTGGAGACAGAGAAATCAATTTTTGGGTAATTTATTTTAATACATTTATTTCTTGCAGGGAAAGTTATTTATTTAGTAAGCCATCAAACGGCGTCGCGTATCACAGGGCATGGATAAAATTGAAGCTGCGCATGTAATGTGTATTTGAGATATAACGTGTAAAATAAAAAATAGTTCTAAATTCGCATTACACATATTGGTTTAAAAAACAGTTTAATGTATCCCGTACAAATATAAATATTCCTTTGGAACCGTAATCCTCGTACATAATTGTGAATATAAGTATCGATGGAATCCTGTGGATGGAATATCGTTTCTGATGACATATACCAATCCGTTGTGAAATTTCCGCCTCTAAGATAAATATAATAAGGATAAGCAGGTTAATATATTGGCGAGAAGTTTCGGTGGCGCCCCCCGCGGAACTACTGTAAGTCAGACACTTGTGGAACGAAATATTTTGTCCCAAATAATCATTGCACTGCGGGATACAACAATGTGTAATGATACGCCTCTTTTTCTCGTGTTTTGCCTTCATGTCGCAAGTGGTTTACTAGCACAACGGAATACAGTGTCTGACTTACAGTAGTTCCCCTAACAGCAATAATATCCTGTATATCTATAAAATATACTAAGGATGTACTTAATATACTTATAATATTTTATGCTTCACGATATCCTCCGAATATTTTCAGAATATACATTTGCTGTTAGGATCTGCCGGGGACACCATCCGAATCTTCTTGTCGCCAATAGAAGCCGGTAATATCCACATGATAATATAGCATATTGTAAATATGCGAACAAAACAAAACATTTATTCTATTATTCTTTTCAATCAAGATATAAGTGGCATCTACGTTTACTGCATTACACTGATCTGGTTATCCTTATTGAGATTTTTCTATTAAAAAACAAGCCCAGTTTTATTTTATTTATCTTTAAGATACACCTCTCACTTAATTATATATTATTTCCACTTATTTTGCATTCTCAGATATTTTCCGAACGCTATATATGTTTATTTCAATAAAATGAGTATGTTTCTCTCGTGTAACTTTGAGGCCAGGCAATATAGGTAAGGCTGTATATATTGACACACAATTTGTCACGAATTCGGAACTTTTCTCTTTTATTATAAAAATATCAAAATTGTCAAAATCGTAATCGCAAAATAAGTGAAGATGGATTATCTATTTTACAAGATACTCGTATTTTTAAGATAATATTTTTTTTAGAAACATAACGCAATAGCAATACTGTTTCTTATATAGGGTATTCCAAAATTAATCATTTTATTTCTATTACAAATTCTGATAACATAGGTGAAAATACAGAAATTTGTAGAAGAGTTGGATTACTGATATAAATTGTCTTTTTGAACGGTATGATGCTAAGACACATTGCAATATCAATTTGAACTTCGATCACAATGATGAGAAATGCAGATGAAAAAATACAAGCCTAATCTAAGCAGTTACTTATAAGATACGGTACTCCAAATCTCATTATGTAAAGCTGAATAGTAGCAATTTAGAAACCACGTTTTTGTTCACTGCAGCACTGGTTCAAAATTTACAAGTTGCGGAAATAAGATAATTAATTTTGCCCTGTATAAATTAGATGCAAGTATACTCAAATTCGTAAATTTACTGTTTACAAATATAATTTATATATAAAATATTTTTTATTCATGTTATTAAAAATATAACTTTATATATTTGATCAATACTTTTATAAATAAAGATAATTATAGATAACTTTTAATCTCCATTGCCCTCGTTCAGTATAAACATCAGTGCTCTCGTGAGCGCCGCGCTGCGCTTTGACTATATAAGTATCTTTTGACGTACCTATTATACAAGTATGGACTGCTAATAGCTAACTTCACGCTGATTGTCAAAAAATGGCGACCTCATTAACCAAAAACTGAAAAGTAGATATAATATTGTTATGCCGCGTTGCCGATTGGTGACGGCTTACGGCAAAACGTTTATTATTTTCGGGATCTCTTGACCTTACGAGTTGGGACTCGGTAGGCACAGGCGGGCAGACTAGGAAGCGGTCGGGTTCGCAGGTGGAACAAGGTGTAGGCGTCGTTAAATGAACTTCACTTCGTTTTACTTTATATTGGAGCTTTATTTCAGCGCTCCTGTTACACTCACTAACTTACACTTGTAGTTGCCTTTCACAATTATTATATCTTGCACGCGCTTTGTTATAATGTAGAACTTCGCGACACGACTTACGGGAACGGTCACGGGTAGAGTCTCCGGTGTATTACTCTCCGTCGCGGCTTCTTCGACGGTCCCTTATATTGCTTTGAGTTATGCCCTGTCGGCACTTTTGCGCCGGGTTCGACGGTCCCCCGAATGAGGCTCGGTCAGTGACCGAGCGCATTCGCAATCTCGCTGTACTCCCGCGGTTCCGCGATTGTCGAAATGCGTTGTCGCACATTCCTATGCATCTCGCAATATTGTGTCGAAATGCGTTGTCGCACATTCTTATGCATATCGCAATAGTTCGATTGACGCGGAAGCTTGATGAACTTCCGCGTCCGCGTCTGCGTAAATTGAGGAGTCTTTCGAAAGGCAATTTCCTCGAAGTCTTTCGAAAGGCTATTTTATAATTTTATTATAAATAATTTAATAATTACCCGTTGTAATTTTAGATTACAACAATATGTATACTTGGTAAGAAAGAGACGCAGACAATAAGAGTAACAATTAAGTTAACCAACATTGACAACATATATCAAGGTCATTGAAATCGGTGAGGTGGCCAAACTTTTTTTGTTAATAACTTTTTAACGAATAACGACCGTCTTGTAAAAAATTCTGAAGGTCACTTGGGGTCATGACCTTGACAACATATATCAAGGTCATTGAAATCGGTGAGGTCGCCAAACTTTTTTTGTTAATAACTTTTTAACGAATAACGACCGCCGACTAAAAACCTATGAAGGTCACTCAGGAGGGTGACCTTGACAACATATGTCAAGGTCAAGGTCATTGGCAGGTGGGGTATTAATATGCATAATTACCACGATGCTATATTTTCCAAACTTTTTTTGTTAATAACTTTTTAACGAATAACGACCGCCGGCTAAAAACTTCTGAAGGTCACTCAAGAGGGTGACCTTGACAACATATATCAAGGTCAAGATCATCGACAGGTGGGGTCTTTTTATGCATAATTACCCTACCCTTCTCCTCTCACTTAACCCTTTGGACCAACGGCTTAACGTCTCTTTCCGAAAGACGGAGCCCAATTTGCTCCGCACAAGAGCCTATCTTGCACGGAGGGCCCAGCTTTCGGAAAAAACATTCCATGTTTACATGGCTCTAGTAGACTCGAACCTGGTTCTTCAGATTACGAGTCTGGCGCTCTACCACTAGACCACACTGCCGCCTTGTTTATAACTTGTATTCTTATTCACGGATTAACAGATAGCTGTAAATCTTGATCAACTGTCATAAAGTTCATTTTCGCTGGAAATGTAGGATATGCATTGATTATATTTAATAATAAAGGCAGTAAAGAAGAGAGTTTAGGAATCTGACTACACTATCGAACACGTGCGGTGGTATGCAAAAATAAATAAATATATATCAATACGTAGTGCAAAAAAAGTTTATTAGACTCTCTCTGTTTGAAGTTGAGAAAAAGAGAGAGAGAGAGAGATTGTGTCAATACGGCCATCTGCGGCCTTTGAAATATGATAGGTCAGACCGCGCGTTCTGAGAAAGCCGGTGTGAATGCGCGCAATAGGCGCCGGCCGCGTTGCGTCCCAGGCGTAGAGGCGTAGTACTACCGCGCGTGCTTGAGCATGTTGGAAGGGGCGCGCAGCCCGGGCGAGCGAGCAATGAGCATTCGTCTTCTAGACCTCGTTCAGTACACATCTGTTGTAATCTGTTCTAATAACGTATTAAATTGCGTCATTCTTTTCGTAGTGAGCTTTAGATTCGAGTCGCGGAAATATCGAGATCTGTTTCTTAATGTAAAACAAACAATATATCGGTTTATCGTGTATGCGACAAATTCGAGAGAGCGACGGTCGTCGTAGCAAAGATACGAGCCCTGTTGGAATATTCAAGCTACGTTTCCGGACACCAGGAAGGAAGCCTCTTTGAGAACGTACGAGTAGGACTTTCAAGCAGGAGATGAAACGCCATCGAGGAATTGAGGACCAACTCTGCTTATAGTTTCTTCTTTGAGAACATTCAGGAATATTCTCGTTGAATTATATGCTAAGAGTTTCGAATACAAGGTAACCGAATTTCTCTTACTTGAGTAGAGACGTTAGTATTTCATCTAACGTTACAAAGAGGATCCTGATCAAAGGATCCTTAATTCTCTTAGGGTTATCCTTGTTTGATTGAGGAGATATAATAAGTTTCGCGAGTTGAGAGGAAAACATCCTCTCTTATTACAGGATTGTGCACAATTTATTTCGAGTCAATTATATCAATGAGCTCAGTTAACTTTTATATACTTGTTCAATTCGTTGATTGAAATCAGTTCCTGATTATAACAAACTGTAAAATATTTCTTATTCTTTTACTTGCGTTCGAGAAAGCGTGATCATCAGATCTTTTGTATTCAATTACATGTAACGTATATGCATACTTGCGTCGTTATCACCGATTGCGATAATCGATTAATATTAGCTCGAGTTTTATGTTGATAAAATCTCTTGAAATATTCTATTCTTTCGTATGTTTAACAGAGTGAACAATTGACAAATTAGAGTTATTCTAAGGAAATATTTCTATAATTATATCGTATTGATTCTAGTTTGATCAAAGCATTTCTTCTTGTAAGTAATTCTTTAACTTGCGTGCGTATGAAACAGTGTGATAAACCATTACTTTCAGATATTGTGTAGTAAATAACATTTAAGTACTTTCATACAAACGTCGATTTACAATTAAATCCGACTACCGTGCATTGCGATAATATACATTCACTTTCATTTGCGTTTCGATACATTCTATTGAGATATTATTTAACCACGAGTATTCTGTGAATTGGTATTAATGTCTGAATACCTGTCTATAATAATAACATTAATTCGTGTTCCTCAAAGTCTGATTATATTAAGCGTTTCTTCTACTATCTATTCGTGTCATTAATTATTTCTTACGATTCGAGTAACAATCTTTTGTTTATGTGTTTTATATATATAATCTTGAGTGCGTTCATTCCTTTTCAAAACCTATTATATATGTTTTCATACAAATTATTGCAAGCGATATTGGAATTCTCGAAACGAGAATTAGTGTGTCAATCCAGGATTATTAATTCTACATCTCTTACTGATTGTTGAACTTACAATTTCTAACGTTTCTTTATTGTCTAGCTCGTTAATAGTGCAATTAATTCTATCGAATTAAAGAACATTATTTTATAAATATATCTATTTAAGAGCAATTAAATTGACACACTGATTCCACGCATTTTTTATTGCTTTAATTACTTTAAACTAATTTTGCTGTGTTTCTTCATATATATTGTGCGTTGTATGTTCACATTGAAACGATTTCCTTTTCTTGATCGAGATTAAAACTGTCGCTGCTTTATGAGTTTAATTTAATGAGATAGAAATTTAATTAGATAAACCAAGATACGTCTCACTTTCACAGAATTGTTGAATTCCAATACAGGATCAATTTTCACATATATAATTATTAAAAAATAGAAACGTTACGAATATCAAGGAATGGATCCGTTCATATTAATTCTTTTATTCATCTTATTATATATGATATGATTTATGTTTCTTATAACCCAGAACATTTATATGTTTTATTGTACAAATACTGGTAAGGTTTTGTGGCAGTTTTCCTTACCCTTGCAACAAATGTTGGTATTCATTTAATATTTCTGCTATTTAAAAGTTTCTTTTATTCAAATAAATCATGATACACAATTTTTCTCTCTCATCAAAGATTCGTTACATTTGTTCCTTTCTCATCTAAATCACGAGGCCAGGCTCGTGCGCGAGCTTGTACCAAACACTCTCTTTTTACCTCTAACATAATAATTATATTATCTGACAATAAATGCGAATTAGGGACTTTAATGCGTGCCTGTTCTTTGGAATTTAGCTTACCATCAAATTTTAAGTACTTTATATAGCTATAATAATTAACAATCTATTCTTAATCACGAACAAAAATTTGATGACGATGGAATCTTAACATAAGCAATTGTATTTCTTCTCAAACAAGTAACAAATCAGCTTTTACATTAAAGAATTGGCTCGTTCAGAGCAAAACAATTTTTTCCTTCACTATGCTTGTAATATAACTGATTAATATTTAATTTATCTCCAGTCCATATTGATTTGTCACGCCAGTTAATTGTTATTGCTTGAGTAATGATATAGTCAGCTATTTCAAATTTATCTCGCTATCTTGAAGACTATTATAATACGAATGTAATATTAATTTGTATTTGTAAATATTAAAGTGCCTTAGAGCGTATCCAAAATATTTATATTTGAAACTATGCTTTTGATACTACATATAAGAAAGATTCATTACGATATCAGGGCATAAAAGTAGTTCCCACTTTGTATTAAAATAGCCTCATGTAACACTTAATTCAACAATTTTCAAGAGAGAAAGAGAAAACAGATATGATTCTAACAGACTATAGGGATCATAATTATATGTATAACTTTTTTGTTTTTCTCTCCCCCTCTCTCTCGTGTTTTCCGCGAATAATAAATTTTTTTAAATATAATAATTAGATTACCTATTGATTGAATTATTACATCTGCACTGTTCTGCTGTGGCGGCATTGGAATATACTCGCGATGTAATATGCGGTAAAGATCCAAGAAGATTAGCACCACGCAAATTGCCAGCGAAACCACTTCTTCCTAAGAAACTGTGAGCGCACTTATAAAGACGTGTTTGCAGAATCAGTATATCATCGAGGTCCTGTTCACTGTAACGTAATCATATCACATTTTAATTTACTATTAAATCAAATTAAATTCCTGGTTCGCATAATTTTTCCGCATTCTATTCTGCATCTTAAAGGGATCATAAATTAACTAATCCAAATTACCGACAATTGCAGGGAGGGCTCCAACTTTGAGTAGACTGCACAGAAGTTGAAAAAGTTTATACACAATTAAAATATGCACAAAAACACATCGCGCGAGTGTTGATTTCAAGACAAAAATCGAAAAAATTAAAAAAAAAACATTTTTAAGCTGTCACCTACCGTAAACGGGAGGGTCCCGTTTGCCTACAAAACGATTGCCTACAGGTTCGTTTGCACACACCCATTGCACACAATCCCGATAGCACACATTTCAAATTGCCTACAGAGCGATTGCCTACAGGCATTATTGCG